TATACTCAATTCAGTAGATTGCATTACCAGGGTATTTCCTGGGAAAGATGGTTTTACTCTTAATATTCCAGTTTTGCAGAATGGTGAGGCATAGGTAATAAGTTTCAAATCTATTCTTCAACCTTCTTGTTCAAGACTCTTGAAAAGAAACATTAACTTTACAATGCCAACAGGACTTTCAATTCAATCTTGTTCCTGAATAGGAAGACGAATTCAACTTAGAACTAGAGGAGAGGGAGAGAGTGGGGGCACAAGGTTACGAAGAATATTTCTGATTTGAAGGAAGCGAGATCTAGGACGAACAATGGATGAAGTGGGAACTTCACTACATTGCTTCGAGCGAAGACTCTTAACGCACAACAGAATTCTATAGTACCGACAGAACTAAGTAGTTCACGCATTTTATTGATTGGAACTCCAAAGCACGCTTGTCTGGAACAGCTTTATTAAATATTTCGGTCTTGAAGGATGGGTAACAGGAGTCTAAGGAATGTCGATACTCCAACACTCTCATTTAACTTAGAACTCTAGGCACAAAAATAGAGCGAGCGTAACTGGGCAGTACACAAATTTTGGTGAACTGGAGTGAAATGCAACCCCAGTGTGGAGTGCGAGGGTTTTTTTTGCGTACACCAAAAAATTTAAGTAACCTCTTTCTATGTCTACCTAACATGACAAAATTCTCATGAAAAATATTAAATATTTCTGTCTTGAAGGATGGGAAAAGGATGTCAAGAAGTCAAAATCGGTACATAGAACTCCAGAAACGGACAAAACAGCGCGAACGTAACTGGGCAGTACATTAATCCCGGTGCGCCGGAGTGAGATCCGACCCCAGTGGGGAGTGCGAGGGCCTTTTATATTTTAAGTATCCTCTTTCTCTGTCTACCTAACACGAAAAGATGCCCATAAAAAATATTAAATTTTTTTGTGTCTTGAAGGATGGGAAAAGGATGTCAAAGAGTCAAAGTAGATAATTAGAACTCTAGACACAGCCCAAAAACCACGAACGTAACAGGGCAGTACATTAATCCCGAGTGAGATCCAACCCAGAGTGGCGAGTGCGAGGGTGGCGGCGGGCTCGCCGCCAAGCGCGCCGAACTTGTTGGAGCGAGCGAGCGGGCGGGGGGTGCTGGGTGCTGGGCTGTGGGGCCGACTGGGCCAACAGGTGGGCCATTGCCCCTCCGGGGCGGGGCCCATCGACCGGCGCCGCCGTCGGGGGCAGGCGCCGCGCCGTCTAGCCGTTGCGTGAGGCGCCGCCGCGCCGAGCCGCGCTGCGCCGGGACGCGTGGCGTCGGGGCCGACGCCGACGCCGGCGTCGACGTCGCGACGCCATTGATTGGACCTCGGCGGGGAAATGGGCCGACGCCGGACGCCGCGGCCTCGTCGGCCGACGGCGATGCACGTCGAGAATGCGTTGCGAGACGGGGAGGAATGGAAGGCCGCGCGCCCAGCTTTCAATAGGGGCGAAATGAGGCGGCGCGACGCGGCGCCGGCCAGAGAGCGAAAGCCCTAAGCGCCTCGTAAGTGGATTGCTGCGGGAAATGACGGTTGTATTCTAGACTTTTATCGGATGTGTTATGGAGTGGAGTTCAATCTGATAAAGGCGTGGTTAATTTAGTTCCACATTATCGCGCCGACTAGCTAGAAAGGATTTCGCGCACTAGACGTCGCCTTCGTTAAAATATTATATTTGAGATTAAAAGTACTGCCAATAATGGAGTTGCTACTGCACTTGAATGAAATAACAGTAAACTATTTTCAATTTTGGACAATAATTTGTTTTTTCTTGTGTCTACGTTAATTAACACTGTTAGAGAATGTTCAGGAGTTCTATCAGAATTGATCTGAAGCTGCCGTTTATAAACGCTTTAGATTCAAGAAACCTTTTCCCTTATTTCAATTTATTCTACAAAGACCAATATATGACAATTCAAGACATTTTATTCATGCTTTCAAAAACTAGCACACATAACTAGCAATAAGAGCAGTTGTGGTAGGGGTCAATAAGTAAAAGAAGGCATTTTATGAGGCAACTGTCAAGCGCATTCTACCGGATACTTCACGAAGTGCAGGCCATGTACGCACTGCAATACATACAATTCATTGCGTTGCGTCTCAATAATTTTGCTTCCAGTCTCTGAATTTTGTTGCAGCTTCGATCTTTCAGACTTCATGTAAGTCACAATAATCTTCCCAACTTTTCCCAATTTTTTTTTTTTTTTTTTTTATGGAAACTTCCTATTCCACAAGTTTACTGAAAAGGAAATTATTTTTAACTCATTGTAAACAGTCGGAAATAGTACAAGTTATTAAATTGTCGATATATTGTTTATAATGTTAGTCACTTCTTTCTGAAATCGAAGCCAGAGCTCGTGTTGCCAACGTGCTTTCACCTCAATCCGAACAAGGTAACCCATGTACCGAACATTTTTTTGGCGGGAACATTTTTGTCGAAGCATCACACACTTGTCTGCCGGTTTAAGCCATACCAGGTCGCCGTAAATCTCACAGGAGGGAGAGTTATTTGTATTACAAATGGTCAAGATAGACATGCAAATGTAGCGGGTGAAGTTCCGCTAATTAAAATGCTGTGCGTAGATGGTAGGAGATTAAAGTTTGCAGCTTTCCCGGTGGCCGCGTGCTAGGTACGTAAAGTGGATGGGTAGTATGTGTCGATTCCCAAGCGAGCTATATTGTTTGTTTTTTGAGCGAAAAAATATTATTGATTCATTTGACATGTTTTGTCTTCAGGAGGTACAGACTTGGTACGCATGAGTAAACCTATCCAACCAAATTTGAAATGTATAATGAAGAAACTGCTTGACAATATTGGCACGCAGCGAACTTCCTTCTGTGTGAGGGAACGTTTTTCGCAAAGTCCAGAGAATATTATTTTCCTTTTAGGCATAGAAAAGGAATTAAGCTTGTTTTATTAAATGTTACATCCTGCATAATTCTTGTGCATTGTTCTTCTGAAAAAACGCTTATAACTTTTGCAAGAGTGCAAGAGACGTGATGGTTTAATTTTTTTCATTAATCAATTAACTCAATGGAGGATAATAGTAATACCCATTTGTTTTAGTGCCGATGATTATATAGCATACTCGTATACCATAGATTTGAATATGTCAACTTTCTGAAATATCAAATCAATGCTTTCAATTTCAAAATAAAATAACATTTATTCGTAATAATAATAATAATAATAATAATAATAAAAAGAATCTTAACTTAATATTGCTTACAAATTCCAAGAAAAATACATTTGATTAAAAGAACTATTTTCCAGAACAATACATATGTTTACCTTTTTTTAACCTTTCAAAAATGCAGAAGTCCCTTCTTGATGTTGAAATCCATTCACATTTCACCATTGACTTTCCCAAGTATTCCAGTACATCCACATTTCCGTAATGTCATCAAACGAATGCACATCCAAATTCCTCACTGAGTCACCACTCTGTGTGAAAACTCAATCATATACGTCCTCATTTTAGAACGTACATTTCGACCCCTGGTTAATTTCATTCCTCTTTTTATGTCGACCATCTCCATAATATTAAAAACATTGCCAACCAGTGTTCCTATCCCAGTAGGCCGTGCGTATATGAATCTTGATGTTAAATATAATAAAAATAAAACATTTAATTTCGATTCGTTACAATATCATACGGGGTATTATTATATTAATCTATCTATAATATCTATAATAAAATAATAATAATAATAATAATAATAATCGCCAATCTAGTGGCCGAGATGGCTAAGGCAGTAGTGCCATAGCCATCTCGGACCGTAGGATCGAGAGTTCGAGTCCCGCCTTGGGCATGGTTGTATTGTCCTTTCACCCTGTCATCATATCGTGTCGTCCTCACAGTTACCATACCGTTAGAAGCAATAGTGGTCGCTAATAGACTAGAAGTTGAAGCGACCTTAAATAACAAAAAATCAATAATAATATGATGATAATAATGATGATAATCATAATAGTTAATGCAATAACCAAAATGGGGTCACTTGGTCACAACATATCGACGTATCTACTAAGGTATTCCACATGTAATATTTTTATCTACGTAATGGTGCGGAGTTAACAGTAGAAGTGGAACGCGACTCATTCTTCCGTGACCGTGAACATTACTGGACATCGTTTCACTTTAATTTCCTGCCTAATAGGTCAGCCAAACAAATTTACAATCTAGCGGAAAAGTATTTATTACTGAAGTCTCCATTACTTCTGCCAAGCTTGTTCGGTCAAGTGCAGTGATATGATTAAATTTTTTGCAGGTGTTAAAACAGAAGTTTAGGTGACTGAATAATCCCATTAATATCAGAAAACTATAGCACAATTGTTAGATCAGACATTAAGCGTTGTCGTCTGAACGTTCAGGAAATATAGCATTTATTTAATATATAATGTATATTAATACATTATAATTATTAGCAACCACTATTGCATTGAACGGTATGGGAACTGAAGATGACATGATATGGTGATGGTTGGGGATTAAAGGACGATCATAAGTACAACCATGCCCGAGGCGAGACTCGAACCCGCGATCTTTCTGTCCGAGATCGCTACGGCACTACTGCCCTAACGATCTGTCATCCGGACCGGCAAATTTGATTTGTGTGATCCTACGGTTAATAAATCTTCGAATTAGTCTCTTTCAAAACATCACAGCTCTACTGGTGACGGACAGTTGAAGATTCTACGTCTACTCTAATTCCGAAGAGTATTATGCGTGCACGTTTGCGCTCCTGAATACCTACTTTACGAATATTAGTTGAATTCATAATAAATAATCGCGATGAGCATTGTCGAAAATTTAATTGCAGAATACCAGAAATTTAATGCCAGAAATGTTTGCTCGCGTATAATAAAAATATTTTGCATCAAAAATCGAGCTTCAAATTTGATACAATAGCCGTCTTCGAAATACCCCTCCCCCCACTCTTTTCGCAACTAACGAAATGTGGGCTCGAGAAAACGAAACATGAGCGCGGGTACGTTCTGGCGAAGATGTTCTAATGTTCTGGCGCGGGTACGTTCTGGCGAAGATGTTCTAATGTTCTGGCGCGGGTATGTTCTGGCTTCCGTGCGTATTCGTATTCGCGTCACGCGCTGCCACTGCACGCACGAGCCCAACCCACGCGCGATGACGGATCGATAGTGGTGCATTCACGTCGATGCCGGAGATGCTTTAGTAGATAGTGCATCGCACCATTGCTCGCGATAGCAGGGTTTGGAGATAAGCCGTCAAATAACGGAGTTTGCGGCCTGTCTACCAGCTGATAGTTTTATGAATATGCGATATTTATTTTACAATTTGTAAACGTTTCTTTAAACTTTGCACAGAATTCGTCGTAGGTCTAAAGTAACGTACGTTTATTTCCTTAAAGAAATATGGGTCGAGTGAAAGCCACGGGAAGAATGTGCCTTACGAAATAAAACTGTAAGCTCGCTTAATCCAGGACTAAGAGTACTAGCTTTTTTCTTTGTTAAGAAAAAAATTAATCTTTCGGTCTAAAAAGCAATGAATAGATCAGTTCTTCACAATATTGTGAAGAAATTATCAAAATCGCGCAACCGAATTTCCTAGAATACAATGTAAAAATATGTATACATGGGTTATCTTAAATGTTCTCGTGTTAATGATTCTCTTGTACAGCTCCCCCGGAAATAAAATAATTGGCTGCGGCACTGGCTGCGCATCTAATTTGATATCGGTTACACAGGCATAGAGGCATTGATCCTTAAAATGCTTAACTTGGAGTATTTAAAGAAGATTGGCACCGACTTCTTCCTGCAGGATTCTATACGAACCTTCTCCCATTTCCAGTAATTTATGTATATCGCAATAAATCCGCCTCTCTCAGGGTCACAATCTCTTAAGCCTATCTGAAAATGTTATTTTTGTTCACTTAAAAGAGTTCTAATTTGCCATTGCCGTACAAACGTATATTTTGTTTTGACGGTGAACTTTGTTTAAATCATTCCATTTCTAGATTTAAGGGAGTACAATAAAACTAAACCTTTCTTATGTAAATGTAGTTCTTTCTTGGTCACGTCGAGAGAAACCATGCTGATTTTCAATAAATTCAGTCCATACAACTCTGCATGCATATTTATTCTGCCCTTAATCCAAACCGGGACAGTTAGTCACTGCTTATCGACTAAAGGGAAAGTGTTCCACATGCATGATTTTTGTTATCCTTCGCTATCTCGCTCGTTAAACGCCTCTAGTAGATCTCCTTCTTCCATGACCGTGAACATTACTTGATGTAGTTTCATTTGAATTTTCAGTATATTTCAAGAAGTTAACATTTTATATAATACATATTACATCCGTATTTCATGGTTGCTGAAAGACTTCTGTGTTGACAAGTGAAATTAAGCGGAGGATACTTTTTGCGTTTTTGGAGAGTGTGGAGCCAGAAAATAAGTGTGCTAGAACTTTTTAACATTTAAAGTTGTGAAAATATTTTTTCGCACTTAAGAAACTGCACTTAGAAAGCACTTAAGAAACTGCAGAGGACAGAAATATAGCATTTGCTGTCCGGTTAGAGAACTTTTTTCAAATGATAACTGATCGGTTAAAAATTTTCTCATATAAAAATGAGATTGGCATAATTATTTAAATCAGTATAGTATTTGGACTGTTAGTATTTCGCCTTTACCTGTGAAGCTATTTTTCCAGAAGACATTAACAATCGATTGTATCTGTACGACGCTTTGCAAAACATAATTTGCTTTCAAATTGTCTAATAACTAAACCACACTATATTCGTAAATAGATTTGCAGAAAGGATTTTGTTGGTTATCTGAACAGTGTATTTTTCAAAAAACAAATATAAAGATGGTTAAATTTGTCTCAAAGTAGGTGAAGTTTCACGTGATAACAAGTATTTGTTTTAGACTTCCGAAGGAAACATTTACTTCTGCGAGGATGAAATCCATTTCCTTCTCGTACTACAATCCCTGCAATCCTGTTTTCTCAATACGGGCATTCACAAATTGATTTCTCTTATAACTATTAAACCAATACTTAGAAATTAATGTTTAACATAAGGAAAGATTATACGAAATATCTATAATGTACAAAAATGAATGGTGTAGCGACATTTGTATTTACTTTATGGTGAGTTTATTACTTAAAAAAAGTAATTTATGATATTAAAGGCAAAATTGTGTACAATAAAACGAGTAATTACAATACCACCAATTTTCTACGCAAGTATTGTATCTAACTCTTCAAATTTAAAGATTGATATAGTTAGAAAAGCTTTTATACCACAATAATTTAGAAAAACAAAAAGAACATAAAGTTGGCTCTCATTGGGATTTTTACTTGCACTACATGCAGTCAATTTTTGAGTCAAGTTTTATTTCAAACACGCATCCATCGTATCATTCTTGAAACGTCCCTCTGAAAGGCTACCATGGAATCGTGGACCGATTTGCTCTACGAATTCTGACACGGCGCTCTTTGTGTTGCAGTGGGCTGAATTTCCAAGACCTGATGGCCCGTCAGGGCGCCATCGACTCGCCGCCGAAGACTCCTTTCATCCTGGGCTTCGAGTGCGCAGGAGAAGTCGCAGAAGTTGGCGAAGGCGTTGAGAACTTCAAGGTACACTCATTTTCAGGTCATATGGACTCCGATTTTGTACGAGCCATTTCATATGCAAATTCATAAATTATCAGAAATTGCCAATATTGGTCTTTCTTGTCTTAATTAGTATAAAATAGAAGTTTAAAGAACAAATTGCGAAGAGATGCTTAAAGAGAACTGTTACGCTTATCAAGGTTTAAAATAAGACATTTAGATCTAACATGACTATAAGAACATGCCCAAGCAAAGTGCGATAATTTGTAATGCATTTTTACTGTTAATTAGCTTAACTATCGTATATCATTTGTAAAAAAATGTTTGTGGTAATATAATTGGAATAGTGTTGTATTTGTCCAAATGTAATCAGTTATCCCACGTACTGTCTAAATTTAAAAATGTGATTTTTGAAGAACGATTTTTGTTTAATTCTCGGGAAACAAGATTGCTTTACGAAAGCATTTATACTTGAATTTCTATTATAGCTTGCTTTCACTGAGTAAATAAAATAGAAAAAACGGCTTAAATAAAAATTTCGCTTAGTTCCGCGGAAAAAAGAGTATTTTTTCCAGCAAGTTATTACAGCATGCGCTTTGCTACACACAATATTCCGGTTACAGGTCTGGATTCTTCTCGCCTTAGTTCTCTTCCACGTTAAACAATTGGTGCTTGCTCGTGCACGTACTGTAATACTGTTACTCAGGAATGTTCTCTTCTGATAGCTAATGCATAGCTGCATAATATAGTCCTTTATAGGACTAATTGGAGCAGATGCGGGTACCGGGCTCTGAAAGGCAGCCGCAAGGAGGGAGGGAGGAGAGAGAGTGAACGGGGGAGGGGAAAGGGCAAGCCCTTTGTTCAGGGCAGAGGTCACGTAAGGGGCTTCACACGTAACATGGCATCGAACAGAGGGTTCTCCGCCCTTCCCTCCGGTTGACAAAGGGTCCGATCTCTGTACTATCAAGGCTATTCACTGACGTTTAGGGCTTTTGTTGAGGCTTAAGCGGCGTGGCTTCTATTGAATTCCGTCATTTGCCTTGACGCATTTTTCACACACGCATTCATCCACTAAGTTAATTTATATCAACAAATATAACGCAGTAGACACGAATAAAATTCTCATTGAAATGGAAGTGTAATATTTTAGTTTCAAATATTTAATAATTACAAATTGTAAATGCTTACCGCTCTCTGTAAAGAGCAGATTAAAAAGTATTTGCACGAATGGAATTTGATTAATTATATCTAGAGAAAGTGTTGATTACCATTAATAATGGAAGTAGAAACAACATTTTATGTAAATGTAAAACTACGACCGTTCCTTTGCCAAGATCTGTGGAGAATCTTTCTTCTAACTCTAGTCGAGAATTTGACCCATCCTCTTATCTAGAAACCACTTACAGGATGGCTACGAAAATCTACTTACAGTTGGAGGTGGAAAAGGTCGCATGTGGATCGATAGTCTCTTCCCTAATATTCAGGTTTTCCAGTCTATTTTGCAATCCACTGACTGAAAATGAAACTTTTTCCATAAGTATTTTCTGTCCCGTTCTGAACGATATAATTCACAAAATATTATTTCAAGAAAATTAAGATTTTGAAGTGTAACATTGCTTCTCCATGTTGGTTGATCTTAGTGTTCATTTAGGTAAACTTCTTTCCCAATCTGAAACGGCCATCGAAAATATAATTTTAACTATGGAGAGAGATGACACGGAAATGCATTTTTGACATTGATATCTTACTTTTTGTAATGAAATAACGCGATGCTTTTGCAGCAGTAGTATTGTAATTATGAATGAAAGTGAACAGGTAAAAATTGCATAATGGAGTTTTATAACTCCAAATTTGAAAAGTGAAATTTCAAAATAAGTTCTGTTAGTAGTTTGTCTCCATTTTGACACATTAACGAAAGATTCTTAACTTGTAATTAAATTTGAAGAAAGTTATATTTTCTGAAATTAATTCTCACATTCTTTGCCTTTTCTCTAACATGCAATATGCGAATATTTATTTAAAATAAAAACCTTTTTTCTATTGTGGAGTAAATCAGAAATATTGGACTACCAATTAAATGGATTATTGTCGTGATTTGGTTTTACGCATTAAATTATAATACTGATACCCACGTATTATGTGGGGGAAATTCTATTAATCTCGTAAATTCTCATACATTTCATTCATTCTCATAAATATTTTACTAACCTACAGAAATACATACCAGTCTGATGAAATTTTACGAAAATATAAGACAGTTTAATTTAGATTAAAATATTCTAAAAGCTTTTGGCTACTCTTCTTAGGGAATGGGTATATCCAGAAGAACTGAACTACCAAAAATGTAATAGAAAATCTTTTGTATTTTAGAGCCTAAGAAAATTAATTTTAGCCTCCCCCTCCTCCAAATTGCGCACAGGCATACAGGCCGAAAACGTACAGGCTCCGAATTGCGCACAATAAATGTCTGAAGAACAGTGTAACGTGTTGCAGATAGTACGTACATCTGGTGAGATCTTCACAATGAATTTCAATAATTAGACATGCCTTAAATCTGTTTCATGGTCACCTCGGACGAGTAATTCCCTATCCAGCAACGGTATATTGGGCGTTTTGTAACGTCGTATCTTGTAAAAAAATTGACTGACGACTGAAGTCGGAAGTATGTTTCGGATACTTCGATCTTACAGCCCCATTTCGGATAATGCGAACATTAACAGGCGGATTTTTCGTATTAGCCAAATTTCTCGTTGAAGCCTAGTTTGGAATTTGCCCAAAACACGCACTATACAAAGTACAATTATCATTAATAAATTTTCTGGACACTAGAGATAAAGCAGTCCGGATGGCCGAGATTAAGGCAATGGTGTCGTAGCGATCTCGGAGTGAAGGATCGCGGGTTCGTGTCCCGCCTCGGGTGTAATTGTATTTGTGTTCATCCTTTCGCCCCCTATCATCAGCATATGTCATCTTCAGTCATAATAACATTCAATCCAATAGTGGTCGCTAATGACCTGGATGTTGATGCGACCTTAAAGTCCGACAGACGTACCACGTGGGCCAACGGGAAGCGCCTCCCAGGCGCCGAAGTGTGAAAAGGGCGCTGCTTGCAGGTGGGCGACCGCGTGGTGGCGCTGCCGGAGTACCGCGCGTGGGCCGAGCTGGTGGCAGTGCCGGCAAAGTACGTCTACCCCATCCCCGACGGCATGTCGTTCCTGGACGCCGCCGCCATCACCATGAACTACATCGTCGCCTACATCCTCGTTTTCGAGCTCGGCGGCGTGGCCTCTGGGAAGAGCCTAGTGCTGCACTCTGCCGGCGGCGGCGTGGTGAGTAATCTCGAATCGACGCAGCTCGTGAGGGGCCTCTGCATTCTCGTGAGGGGCCTAGCTTCCCTTCAATGTGCTTCCTACCCCCTCCCTCCCCTCGGGGGTCATTTTTTTTTCAAACTTATTCACCAATACCGAATCAACTTCTTAGAAACAGAGCTTTACCCCTAGAGAATAAATCTTATATGCAGTTTATACAATTTTGTTTTAAATATAATCCATTTAAATAGTTTTTAAAATAAATAATTAAAATTATATTTCCCCCTGTAAAATTGGTTGTCGGCCCTCGATAGACAAACCTTTGCAGTTCCACATGCTTTCTTGATCTCTCGCGAAATAAAGGTGAGTGGACACCACTCGAGATTTCATAAGAACTTGGTAGATTTGAAATGAACAGAATTCTGAAGTATCGAAAATTCAATTTTTAACTGGTTCATAAAGAAAGGGAAGTGGTAAAAGTTCTTCCGTTCCGAAATTAATCATTAAATGCTTAATTGTTCAAATGTATACCTTACCAGTAAATTTGCACATAAATGTACATTTTAACATTGAAATAGGTGGATTGAATTACAAATTTCCACGATACATGAACTTTTTACTTGCTATGTAGGAAAAAATACTATGTAGTAAGAATTTAAGAAAAGTGATAAATGGTTATAGTCTTGCTGTCTCTTCTTACGAAGTAAAAAGAATGAATTGTATTTAGAATTAAATGATAAAAACTCTTCGAAGGGTGTTTTATTGTGAATTTAATTGGAAAAATGAACTTGCAACATTTTGAATTATTTGCCCGATCGGAATTTTCCTGATTTCCTTAACCAAACTATCCCATAGTAGGGTGTGCTCTCCTACTTTGATTCACCCTCTACACCCTCCGGCATATGCCTCCCACCCTCGCTCTAACCCCATTCAACACGCATTATCCACGCCCCCTTTATAATCTCATCTAAGTTTGCTATGCAATTATGTCTCCCTCACCCTACAACCCCTTGCCATTATCCGGGCTCGTGCTCTCCTGGAACCCCCTGGAGACACGGAAACTTTCAAGAAGGTCGCTCTGAACACAATATTGCAGGTCGTTTGTACATTTGTCCTCCAATATTCCAACTCCTTCCACATGCTCCACCTTTACTTAAATGAGATTAATCGCTCTCTTTCGCGTTGGTTCTGGTTCTGGCAGAAGATTAAATTGGTAAAAGATTTGTCTGATTTCTAAATGCAAACAGTTTTGTATTGTGCAAATAATACAGCAAAAACTTGCATCCTCATTACTTTCCAGACGAAGGCACATTAAATTTGGAATACAACAGTAAATTATTAATCTAGACGTAACAAATTGAAAGAATACCTCTAATTCTTACTAAGTTTCTTAATCACATATGAAAATGCTGACGTTTGGTAATAAGTCTATCAAATGCATTTTTGAATGCTTGAAAAAAAATAACTAAAACATGTTGACCTCGTAAAAGTACGTTGAATGACATGCATAGTTTCTCTGAAGTTAAGATTTTCATGCATCGATAGGTAATCGATAGACTAATAAAAATCTTCTGCATTTTCTATCATGATCGTGCATGTAAACGAAGGAAATAGAATTATTCTTTCAATGTGTTTTGATCAGAGTACATTCCTTCTAATCCTATCGGAATTTTTGGCATTATTCTTAATGCGAAAGAGATAATAGTGCAGTGACGGGAGTGGGCGTGGCCAGGAGTACAAATGGGAAGAAACCAAAATTACTTGAACGAAAATAAATGTAGAAATAAAAATAAGTATTAATAAATAAAGAAATAAAAATAAGTATTAATAAATAAAGAAAAATTAAATAAATTCATACCCCCCGTAGCACCACCACCAAAATGAGTGTGTCGTTGCAGGGCCAGGCGGTGGCGCAGCTGTGCCGCACCGTGGACGACGTGACGGTGTTCGGGGTGGCGTCCAAGGGCAAGCACGAGGCCCTGACGGCCGGCGGCAGCCTGACGCACGTGCTGGAGCGCGGCGGCGACTACGCCAGCGAGGTGCGCAAGGCGGCGCCCGAGGGCGTGGACCTGGTGCTGGACTGCCTGTGCGGCGAGGAGTGCAACCGCGGGTACAACCTGCTCAAGCCCATGGGCAGATACATCCTCTACGGTGAGTGCGCTCGCGCAACTCGAAGGTGGTTCAGGGCATCGACGCGTGGCACTGGCGGGGAAGTCCTAGAGTTGAGTCAGACAGCGAAAGGATTTTCTAGCTCGTCGGCTAGGTCGAATTCAGCCGCTGTCCAGTCCAGAATTCTAGCGACCGGGTATTCTAATCGGTAGTGTTCCGTGACTTTTCCAACACCAGGCGAATGCCGGAGCCGTACTCTAACAAACGGACCATGCGCGATATTGCCTTCCTCTTCCGTGTCTTAGCTTCATCCCTCACTTTCACACGTATAGACTTAAAAGCACGGCACTTCCACACAAGTAGGGAGACCAGTTGGGATCTTATAGCTTGTCCCGGCTGGGGCGGTGCTTCGCTGGTGAGAGATACCTGGCCGAGGAAAATCCCCGCAAGTCAACTTCGGTCGAGGTCATCAGCGGGGGTAGGTGATCGCCACCTCCCACGATAAAACACGCTATGCACTTTCTAGACTAATGACCTTAGCAGTTGACGCGCCCTCAATCAATCGTTCATTCAAGCAACAAACGTGTTCCTGATGTAGGGCCCCTTTTACATTCGACAGCGCTTCTGAGTGGCGCTTGCTTGCAAAGCTTTCGTTTAAATTGAGAGATTCACACGAGTGGCGCAGTGGTGCTGCTGTCGGTTGTTGGGTCACTCCAACAGCGCAGTTTCGCTTCCGCGCCACCGCCAGTAGAACAGTTCTAACATGCAGCATTCACTCTTCCGCACTCGGAATTGAGATTACTAGTTAACGTGTTGTTTGCCATATGACCGATACCCAGAGCGGTAAATCACGAATACTTCTTTCCACGCTCAGTGGCACTGGTCAGTAAATGAGTATGAATGGGGGCCCAACGTTTAAAGATGGCGCAGTCCAGTGGTTCCCTATGAAGGTGGCCTTATACTGTTGAAAATACGTTAGCCAATTCAATCATTTTCGAAAGTTTCTTCAATTATTTCCCTCTTGGATCTCTCCTTACTTACTTTGCTCGACTTTATATTCCCTAGTTGCAATCTGCCATTATTGTATTCTACGAATCGGAAAGGGAATATGCAATGGTGATGATATGATGGCCAGTTTACGTGAAGGGTCTTACTTGACATAATCGCTCACGAGCAAGCACGGCCTGCGAGTTTGGGTTTTGCCGGTTGTAAAGGTGTCACCGCCGTACAGTTCGTTATTCTAGGATGAATATTGCGGCAATGATTTCAAATGGTGGAAGCCAGATTGATCCCGCAACAACAAAGCGACTAGAGGAAAATGCCTTGTGGGCCGGGTTTGTTTGTGGAGAAGTTCCTTTAATTTAATACTATTCCGACACCAATTTATATATAATGGTCTGTAAATTCCGGGTGGAGAGGTTCTATTGAAATAAAATATTCTTGTTTCAGTGTTAATGTATTCTGATATATTTTTTTTTGCTTAAGTGTAATTATAGTTTATGAATAGATCGTCTATTCTTGTCAGAATAAATGAATGATAAATATCCAGACAAGTAAAATTGAGTTACGCTTTAAAGTCCTCGTGCGCTTTAATCGCAGGGGTTTCCACTACTAACATTAATATAGGATTATATTTGGGAAAATAATTTAGTAAAGACAAAAATATTAATACCTAACCCTTTTGCCCCACGAGTTGGAAATTCTCTAATTATCATCTCGACAAAAGTCATTCAAATAAATTGCAGAATTGCTACGTCCTCTTAAACTCAAAGATTTGGAATATGTGGATAAATTAATCTCCCTGGTATACATTTTCATACTAAAGGCAGAGAATTCACCAAGTGAAATATATTAACGGAATATGCCTTTTAACAGTTCGTTATTACAAAGTAATTAAACCATAGCAATTAATAATACAGAAGATCTCGAAAGCCATAAATCTTCACAGTGCATTCTTAGTAGATTTCCATTCTTTATTCTGATATCTATAACTTTTTGCGAGTTGGGAAATTTAATGATTTTCTCGTTTCTCGTTTTATCAGAAACTGTTTTATGAAATTATGAACATTATTCTACTTGGTTTTGATTTTCCCCTCAATCTTTTCCTATTAACTTGCTAAATTGCTCTCATATGAAATCTTTTGGTTGTTAATTACTAAATTGATTTAAGTTAAATTCCTTTTTAATTTCCTATTTTTTTCTTTTATTTAATACTGGCGTATGGTTGAGGAGGTCACTTTTGGCAAATCTATTGAAAATATATTCCTGAAAATAAATAGAGCATATTGATCATTTACCTGAAATGGCAAATGGTTTTAAATGCAGAAAATGATGGAAATTAAAGATCTTCAGCCTTGTTCCAAAATTGAAATTAAAAAGGTTAATAATACATTTGAAATGTGCTACTTTTATTGAATTTTGTTGCATCGAGATGCGTAATGTTAAATTCAAGAACTACACTTCGGAGAACTAAAACTAAAATGTGTAATTTTTTAGTCATGAAAATAACTTGTTCGTTATTTCTTTGCTTTACAGGTTCCTCAAACGTAGTCACAGGCGAAACCAGAAGCCTCCTTAGTGTTGCAAAATCGGTAAGTATCAATTTGGAATTCTTGCACGATATTCGTGATTCAAAATTACCTTTCTTCCATGATAACGCAATTGGCGCGAAAAATAATTTTGTAATCGCCGTAGTTCTGCTGTCTAAGGAACCTTGCCTTATAATAGCAGTAAAAGTTTGCCGCATAAGAATACATTCTGTAGTAGATGCAATACTAAACGCCAAGCGCACGATAATGCGGATATTTTGTATCGGTTGCGCAGTCAACGCTCAGCGCAGTTACATTTTACATCGGAGAGATGAGTTTCCTCTTCCTAACACAGAGGTTCCTCTTGATAATGGAATTCTTAAATCAATTAATCTCCTTATTGTACGTGGCGAGGCTCAAGCCATCAGACCTGCTCTTCCGCCTGTCCACGCAAATTTCGCTTAGCCCCCTATCGCCATCTAGCAGAGAAAGAAGGTAACTATATGGCGACAAATTCACTCGGAGGTTTCTTTTATACTTGAGGATCTTTTACATGTTGTAAATCTAGAACACGGGACGGCGGATCTTACTTCCCCTCCAAAGGAAGGCTTATGAAGGTTTTTTTATATTCTTCGCAACGTGGGACGAGTCATTTTTCTTCCCTGGCGAATCACTTCAGATAGCATCACCACTGCACGAATATAACTCACGACTTACTGCTACATATGGTACTGCTGATTTGAGGTCCAAAGACAATTTCGAATCTCCATGGGAGACACTCGATACACATTTCATTGGCTGTAATACGGGTTGTTTGTAAGAATTGTTCTATTATTAGACTGTAGATAATAAATCGGTACAAAAATGTAAACCTTAATAAATTAAAATGTGAAACCGCTTTATCCTAGGCGTTTAGAATTGTTAAAAATTCGTCATACCCGACATACGTCGATATTAACTGGTTACTATTTTCAAAATAAAAAAAACATTGATTCTTCTTTCCAGTGGTGGCAAGTGGACAAAGTTTCGCCGATCAAACTTTTCGAAGAATCAAAGAGCATTGGAGGCTTTAATTTACGCCATCTGATGTACCAGCAGAATGGCGCTCCCTACGTTCAAGGCATTGTCAGCAAAGTGTTCGATCTGTGGAAAGAAGGGAAGATCAAGCCTGTTGTAGATTCCACATGGGCTCTAGAGGATGTGAGTATGTTTCGTTAATGCCAATAGCTGAAATGACACTAAATTTTCCACAATTTTTTATAATATATGTAATATTTCATAAAATTACGAATTATGTTCCTAAAATTTCCTTCTAGAATACTTGTTCCAGGTAAGGAATTTCGCAAATAACATTTGAAATTCATTCATATAGAAAATATTTAGAACTGAATTTAAAAATGGAATAGATTATAAGGGATTATTTTATCAATTTCTACAACAAAAATGCGTCACCTTCTGATTTTAGTGATCCTCGATCTTCTGATCTGAATAAATGTTTATTTTTAATTCATTCAAATCTTATCCATTTACGCTCAGTAGGGTGAAAATGTCCTTCATTCAAAGTATGTGATTCATTCCAAGTATCTGTGGTTATAGGTTCCGGAAGCCATGCAGAAGATGCACGATAGGAAAAACATTGGAAAGATTGTACTGGATCCCAACATGGAGCCTAAACCCAAACCGGCAACTCCCGCCAAAGGAAAAGCGAAGGGAGGAGACAAAGATGATAAAAAGAAGGAGGAAGAGAAGAAAGAAGAAGATAAAAAGGAGGAAAAGAAGGAAGAAAATGGAGAGCAGGCTGCACCTGCTGGTATGAATGATCTTATATTTGCGTGATCGATCTGTAAAGACATTAAATAACCAAAGAGAGGTTAATTTTTTGATTTTAAAAATCCTATTACAAATACTTAAATTCATTAATTTAAAAATTGTGTATATTGTTAGTAATACCCTTTTTTTCTTAGGCTACACCTTCCCAAAATGTCTTTCTCCAAATCCATTACCTTATATGATGTTGAGACAATGTTCATTGATCACTAGGTTCCTCCTCATATATATTTTTAGTCTAAGTTTGTTATGTTTTGGGTAATAAAAGCCTTCGTATATGTGTAAATGCTCTTCTCATTGTTTCAGAAAATGCTGAGAAAGAGGCCTCGAGTTGAATGCATGATGAATGGGAAAGTGCTTATGTTAAAATCGACCACATATTGAAATTTGTGCAGTGTTATATTTTTGTGTAAGATATTAGCATAATATATTTATTTTGTCTATATATATTACAAATAGAAATGATTTTACATGTGTGTTTGTGGGAATAAATGCTTTGTATGGGAGATGTGTGTCACCGCCACGTCAAAACTATCTACTACGTACACATTCTGCCAAACACGACACACGGGTTTTTTGACAATTTTTCTAACGATTGCTTACACAATCACTTATTCATACAAAAAATTATTTTTCAAACTAGTTTGGACATACATTTAGATTCTGTGAAAATCCTTTCATACTGCTCTAGTGATATTTTGGAAGTCTATTTTGTACTGTGGGTGACTCAAGCACATACATTGAGGGGGCCTACTTTTAATGGTAGTTTGCGAGTTGGGACTGAAGTCACGAGTTTTCAAGTCCGTATGCCTATACTTTATTTTCTCTTATACTTCTGCTTTGAATGTGATACTTGGACTTCTGTACATGCGGTCCAATTGTATGTATACCCAAGCAAGTGTAGAATTGTTACTGTTACTGCTGCCAAATGCCTGTTCACGTTTCATTCTGATGTTTGTCTGCTTGTTGGTGTGATGACAATGTCGGCGAGGATGCAGATGAGTTTGTTTCTGTGTCAACATTTGCATATATTGCTGTTAATCTATATCAATTTTGTGATTATAGTATCTTAAGCTCTGTGTTGAGTTGATTACTCTGCACTATAAGAATTAAGATTGTGTGCTTAATTTGCTGCATGTCTGAGACGGAAGATGACTCAATAAAATCAACTGGACGACTGTATATGATTTATTAATTTATCCTTTCCTTCCCTTTTATTATCGGAACGCAATGAACGGAAGTTTTGAAATACAGATGTATACGTAAGCTTCCGCGGCTCGAATCCATAAATTCTCCGCCATCCGGGAGATCAGGGCAGTGCGGACGCCTGCGACATCACTGCCCTGAGGAAGCCTGAGACAGTCAGGCGAAACGTCGGCACCCCATCCAACGACGTGGCGTCCCCCAGATAGCAGAGAATTATACGTGCCGCGTTTCAGGCATCCGGAAAAAAATATTTTAAAATTCTTTGCTTCCTCTGAAGTAGAGCACAAAAGGATGCAGAGTAGCTAAGACTTTGACAGAAGTCTCTGAATTACATAAAGTTCGGAAGATAATTTCTAAAAAAAAATCACGCTGGACAGTGAAAATTCCCTGCCTGAAATTTTATTTTTGGCTCGTGAAGAGAGCAGAAGATGCAAACCTGGGCGAGGACAGAAGAAACTGAACACTAACTTTCTCGGTCAGTTTCTTTACTACTCGTATCAGGTGATACGTTAGGGAGACCCAGATCAGCCCAGTGCACATTTACTCATCAATGTCACTGACCAACATTTTTGCAGCATTATTCGTCCCGATAAATAACTTTGAAAAATAGTTATTCTAATAATATAAAATTTTTACCGCGTAAAAAAGACACTCTTAATATGAAATTAACTATTTTTGATGGCAAACAGTCATTTATCAACATCTCAAGAAGGTTGGTTGTAGCAACATAAACCTACACTTCTGAAATTATAGATTCTTATACTAAGAAAAAGCAAATAATAATAGAATTAATATTATTGTAATGGTAACTGGGCTACTAACATCACAGAACAGTGCACATGTTTCGCGGATTCCTCTGTTTACACAAGTGACTCAGTATATCTGAGAAAGAAGGCTGCTCTGTTTCTGGCAGACCCTAACAGTGTCAGTAACTAAACTTAATAGTCGCTTTTCGCCAAAAGACTTCCATTTTAGTCCGTATGTGTGTTTCTGCGATTCATAACATGACACAAGTTTCACAGTTATTTTATGTTTGCTCGCCACGATGCGTCCTGACATTGACAGCCCGTAGTTCGAGCAGCTAGTACAGCGAGCAGCGGGACACCTATGTGTTGGTGAACAATCTATTTTTAAATATTTATAAATTTAATTTTAAAAATATTATTTTTGTGTGTCCCACTTTTAAGTTTGGAGGATCTATACAAAATTAGTGAAGAAACACATGAGTATTTTTTACAATTATTTTAAGTGTCGACATAATTTAAAAATATATTTTGCAATTTAAAATATATTTTAAGTATTTAAATAATGTGTACAAAAATTATATTTACATCACATAAAAGTAAATCTTTTTACGTTAAATTTAGGTGTTATTTTATCTTTCTGAAAGGAATGGGTTTTCCGAGAAAAAAACAGCGCGCGCGTGATTCTTCGCAAAACGTAATTGGTAATATTTCTGAAAGGGGTCTAATTAGAAAACAATAATTTGTGTCACCTATTTTCAACCTTAGAACGCATAAAACAATTTCAAGACCCTAAAAAATTGTGATGTTTTGTGAGTGTCCGATTTGTCGTGGAATGACTCACATAGAGAAACAGGTGTCAAGTCTGTGGGTTTGACAAATTCTTTTTTGTGTGCTTATGTTATTAAACTATCAATTAGGTCATCAAACTAAATTTAATAGGAGTTGCTGGTTATCTCGAAGCAAGCGACAGTTATTTTCACGCGCGATTCAATACGTGTACATTCGCACCATTACAGTATCCTACTCACTCGAATGTAAAATTAACGAGTACATTCAAAACTATTACAACATTTAAGTGGGCGTAGTATTGACGCTGGTCCCAGTTTGCCAAGTACGGCCTTAGTACGATCGATCGGTTGATTAGTGATTCAGGGCGCGCCAACTACTAAGGTCATTAGTCCCGTAAGTGCAGTGCATGCTTTTTCCTCAGGTAGTCATCTTCCCCCGCTGGATGGCGAGATCCGGCGCTGAACTAGCGGGGTTCCCCAACCCGCTATCTCCCACCAGGGGCACCGCCCCACCCGGGACGCGCTCTGAGCTCCAGTCTCCCGGCATGTGTGGTAGTGAAATGCATGTTGTGTGTGTGTGTAAGGGGTGAGGATAGGACAAGGAAGAGGATGGAAAGATCGCTCGCGCGGTCCGTGGTCCGTTTGTTAGAGTACTGCTCCGGCATTCGCAAGGTGTTGATTGAAGAAAACACGGAAAACTACCGATACCGAGCGGGTGAATTCGACTTAGCTGTCTAGATAGAGTCGAAAATCCTGCCACCTTCGGGACTCAAACCCTAGGACTTCTCGGTAAGAGGCACTGCAGTGACATCAGTTGATGCCCTGAGCCATCTAAGCCAGTCTTGCAAACGAAAACAAAAATGACGACCAGTATCTGCTACAACAGACGAGTCTCCCATTAATGACCTTTCCGTGCTTGAACAAATCGCTGCGGCTTCCTTGCCATGAAGAGATTTGCCAAAAAAGTGATATGACACTGTAATTATTTTTAATTCAACACCTGCACTGGTAGAATTGTTTAGAGTTTTAATAATTCTATATTTGTATCATTATTTGGCCAATTCATTAAATAATGTTAGAAACACCCAACAGCAATACTAACATTATGACTAGAACATATGATAATATAATTTCAGGAGCAGCCGGACGAAACTATTGAAACGGTGATGATGCCTTAGAGAACTTCAGTTTATTGATTCCTGAGTATGTTATACTTTAAAAGACGCCTTAGAAACACTACAAAGAAAATTAAGTAAGGAATTACATTAGTCAATATACGTTCGGCACTGATTGAGAATGCAGAATGAGTTGCAATTCGTAATATTTTCGTTGTCAGTAACTCACACACGCAACGTCTGCCTAATGTGGCCCTTCCCTGGTACTTGGATTTGCACTAGCACCTCTCACAAAAGATGTTTTGCCGTAACTTGTCTAATTACGCCTTGATATTCTTCCAGTGATAGTTAAAATCACATGTAATTCACAAGAAAAACTTTACCTGCCTCTACGACTAAACGTTACTCCTATAATCATTGATATCGGGAAATACAATAGGCGCGTACAATGAGGAATTGGACAGTCTTCAAAAGGTACTTCTACTAACAGTTTGTCCAACTGTGCGTACCTCACTATTATACGACCACATTGAGTTTTCTGACGGCAGATCAAACCGAAGTTTCAAGCGCAATTTTCTACAAGGAATTCAATTCATTTTTAAAATAACTTCGGCAACTAACATTTCGCTTCTGAACCTCCTGTGACCCCAAAACATATCGCAGGTTTTGATTAATATGTGGTTATGTAAATAAGCTGAAGTAAATAGAACTGATTACATAAAAATAGAGCCATAGAACATTTGAAGATTTTGGAGAGAACTATTTGACATGCACAATCTCTTAATCGAGCAATAACGAACTCGAAATCGAACAATAACAAACGAATCTGATAATCAAGCAATAACGAATTCGGCATCTTTTATTTAAAAATATTATTGTTGCATGAAAAAGCCTTGATTGTAGCCCATGGTATCTATTTTTACTTCCACAATAGGACATACCATTTCCTTATGAGAACAGCAAAGCAATTATCACATGAAAAGTCGATTGGCCATT